AGGGAAATATAACCCCTTTGTTTAAAAAGGGGAAGTGAAAGACCTGGGAAACTGCAGACCAGTTCAGTCTCACTGCTGTGCAGGCAAGATTATGGAGCAGATTCTCCTGGAAACTATGCTAAGGCACATGGAAAACAAAGAGGTGATTGGGATCAGCCAACATGGCTTTACAAAGGGGAAATCATGCCTGAAAATGTGGTGACCTTCTATGATGGGGATACAGCGTTGGTGGACAGGGGCAGAGCAACTGACATCGTCTACCTGGACTTCTGCAAAGCGTTTGTCACTGTCCCACACAACATCCTTGTCTCCAAGTTGGAGAGACAAGGATTTGATGGATGGACCACTCAGTGGATAAAGGACTGGCTGGAGGGCTGCATGCAGACAGTTGAGGTCAATGGCTCATTGCCCACGTGGAGACCAGTGACAAGTGATGTCCCTCAGGGGTCGGTACTGGTGCCAATACTGTTCAACGTCTTTGTCGGTGACACAGACAGTGAGATTGAGGGCACCCTGAGCTCATTTGCTGATGGCACCAAGCTGTGGGTGCAGCTGGAGGGAAGGGATGTCATCCAGAGGTACCTTGAGAGGCTTGAGAGGTGGGCCAATGCCAAGTTCATGAAGGTCAACAAAGTGAAGTGCAAGGTCCTACACCTGGGTCGTGGCAATCCCAGACACGCCTACAGGTTGGGCAGCAAAGTAATTGAGAGCAGCCCTGTGGAGAAAGACTTAGGGGTGATGGTTGATGAAAAACTCAACATGAGCCGGACGTGAGCCGGCAGTGTGCGCTTGCAGACCAGAAAGCCAATGAAATGCTGGGCTGCATCCGGAGTGTGGCCAGCAGGTTGAAGAAGGTGATTCTCCTGCTCTGCTCTGCTCTTGTGAGACCCCACCTGGAGTGCTGCATATAGTTCTTATGTCCCCAACATAAGAAGGACATGGGGCAAGTCCAGAGAAGGGCCACAAAATTGACAAGGGGACTGGAGCACCTGCCCTATGAAGACAGGCTGAGAAAGTTGAGGCTGTTCAGCCTGGAGAAGGTTGTGTGGAGACATAACAACCTTCCAGTATCTGAAGGGGCCTATTGGGAAGCCAGAATGGGATTCTTTGTCAGGAACTGTAGTGATAGGACAAAGAGTAATAGGTACAAATTGAAAGAGGAGAAATTTAGGTTAGATTTCAGGAAGAACTTTTTTACTATGACAGTGGTTAGACACTGGAACAGGTTGCCCAGGGAGGTTGTGGATGCTCCAACCCTGGTAGTGTTCAAAACCAGGTTGGATAAGGCCTGAAGCAACCTGGTCTCATAGGAGGTGTCCCTGCCCATGGCAAGGGGGGGTTGGCAAAGATGATCTTTAAGGTCCATTCCTTAACAGTCTATGATTCTGTGGTTCACAGACTGAAAAACTAATAGTTTGAGAAGGGACTAATAAACCTCACTATCAGAAACCAGGTTAGGAGTCTTAAGTAATAAGGTTAACGTATTATTGTTGATGTTTTCAGACTGATTTTTATTGATTGATTTTGTACATATCATATGTTTTTTAAGCCCGAAGTTGTTACAGCTTTGCTGACAAAATGATGCACTGGAAAGATATAATAAAACTCCCAAGAGTTCCATAAATAATTCAGTAATTCCTTCTATTTTTTATGGGTTTTTTTCCTTCTTCTTTTTATTTTAACTTGTTTGCTTTTTTGTTTTGTTTTGCTTTTAATGAGACCTTGATCCAGTCAAGCTGTACTCACAAATCATGTACAGGTTGTGAAATTTTTGCTAGCATCATCAAGACTGAAGACATACTGTACTGTATTGACTACAGCATCAAGTATGAATTCTTGGTACAAGTTCTCAGTTGTCAGCATGTTGCATTAATAAAATTGCATTGAATTCTCTGTACATTATTTCAATAGTCCACTAATTCATATTCAGACACGAGAATGTTTCCAAATAAAGCTTCTCATAAGATGAGATTTACTTTTCAGGGATAATTTTGTGCCTACTTATAAATGCAAGGGTAAACAATTATTATGACAGTAATGATACACTCATAGAATCATTTTGGTTGGAACAGACCTTTAAGATCATTGAGTCCAACCATTTACCTAATACTGCCAAGTCAACCACTAAACCATATCATCAAGTGCCACATTTAAATATCTTTTAAATGCCTTCAGGTCTGGTAACTCCACATTTTCCCCAGGCAGCCTGTTCCAGTGCTTGACATTTTTGGTGAAGAAATTTTACTTAGTATTCAGTCTAACACACACATCCTCCCTGCCCCGTCAGTGGCAACCTGAGGCCATTTCCTCTTATCCTATGACTTGGAAAAAGAGACTGACCCCCACCTGGCTACAATCTGCTTTCAGGTAGTTGCACAGAATGATAAGGTCTCCCCTGAGCCTTCTTTTCTCCAGGCTAATACAGATCTTTGTCTATAACTATATATTTCTGTGCATGAGGGCACCTGTGAGGCTCAGGGTTATCCAGACTGTGCTCCTCACAGCTGGGTCTGGCCTATACAGGGATCCAGTCCTACAAGACTTGGCTGTTATGTGTGGACAGTGCTTCCAGAGAAGCCAGCAAGTGAAGCAGAAGTGATCATGTACTTTGCATGACCTCCTCAGCAGTGTGAATTTTTTCTTTTTCCATGAGAGCAGAAATGAAATTCCATTCTCTTACATTATTTGCTGATGGTGATGGTGTTTTCTGAGTCTTGCTAAACACAGAAAATCAGAATTTATTGAGCTTGGGTCAGTAATATTCTGTTGACCAGCACTAAGTATGTATGTTCCATCATGCTGCACTCTTTTATAATAACTCTACTGTATAATGTAAGAAAAATCTAGGGTTTTCAGTGCTAGTATACAGTGTCAGTAATTAAATTGCAGGTGTTTGGGGGGGCATATTTATGTTCCTAGAATATGTGAAAAGGTCTGTTGTTGACGAATAATGAAACACTTTAGAAAATCTTTAACCTTTTCGGTAAATGAACAACAACCATAAAAATAAAACTGAGTTCTGTAAAAGCCCATAAGATAGAGATAATATTGCTCACAAGTTATTTCCAAGTGAGTTATTCTTAAGGGGCATAATATCAGTGCACAAAGAAACTAATAGGTTCTATTTCTTAATTCTCTGATACTATCTTTTTGTACTATCAATTCTGGAACAATATCCTTTAAAAATGGTATTCCATTAGGACACAATAAAGAGAAAAAGATGAAAGAAAAGATAACTACAGTAAAGATTATTATTAGGACTTATTTCTGGTTTTGTAGTGTTGATAGTACATGTTTCAGTAGAATATTTTGGTCCAACTGTGCCTCTTAAATCCAGAAATCTTTCCATAGCTCTTACAAATGCTACGATGAAATTATATATTTTTCTGCACCTGACCCCTAGAGGTGTAGTTGACAGGAGTAGGAAGTGAACCAAGGATTTGGAAAGGGAAAGAAGTATTAATACATTAATATAAAAGACATTAATACAACTATATATGTAAACTTTTAAAAGTTTTCTGTAAACGTTTTTTGTGAAAGTTTCCTGCAAAATCTTAGATTGTCTTGCTGCTGCTGTAAACCCTGCAGTATCATCTGCCAGCTCTCAGGCAGGTTTCACATGAGATGATTGGTGCCCCAGACAGACATCTAATGTTGCTTCAGTTAAGGTCTTGCTGTAGATTCCCCTTGCTGCTTTATCACGAACTGCATCTTAAATATCAGAAATCTCATGAATACTCCTGAGTCCTCTGAACATAGCACAGCCCTCATAAGGGTTAATCAGAGTGTTTTCATCTACAGTGAGTGGTTATTCACTTGGGTCATTTGAGTTAGGTTTTCATACAGGGATAACAGTGACCCAGTGACCCAGTGATCTAAGGGGCTGCTGCTCTTCCAGTGCTCTGCCTCCCCCAGAGCTCGAGCAAGCTGAATTACTTGACTTGATCACAGGAGCAATTTTTTCTTTCTAGGAGGAATGATTTGTCTTTTAGAGTCCTATGGAATCATTTCCCCTCAAATTAGGATGAACACAAAGAATGCAGAAAGTACGAGAAATACATAACCAATATGAGAAGTCCAGCAGCTATAGTTCCTGTCATAAAAAAAGGTATTTTTGCTACTTTATTTGCTCTAAGTGAAGCTGTCTTTCTCTTGCTTAGTGGTGCAGAGTGGTCGACTGTTAGCAATGGAGATTGTACTGCTGATAACATTTTTGGATGTAAAAAATTCAAAGTAATTCATAATAAAGGATTCATCATCACCATCTTCTTAGTAAAAGTGCTTATTAAAATAGGAAAGAAGAGTGTATCTTATATGTCATTGGTAATACATGGTAATAAAAGCAAATAAGCAAGAATTTTATGAGCCTAGGACTAGGTCTTCCATTAATTTGGGGAGGAATGATACATTCACATTAAAATTATTTTTGGCATACATTTCATTTTTGTCCTTGGAAAAGTAGGTGATGTATCTGAAATACAATTTTAAAAAACAGAAAGTCCTGAGTTACAAAAGATAAGTGGTAAAAAACCCCACCTTATTTTTGGGCAGTAATAAGCTGTTTTTCAGAGTGATCTGAGGATTAGATATTTACTTTGTAGGTAATCATAATGTGTAATAATAGTTCTTCGCCTGGAAAGTATGTGGGATAGGGTGTGGGATCCCACACCTCATAGGGTGTAGAGTATACACATGGCTGGGACAGAGATGCTGCTGTGATGGTTTCCGCTGTGGAAGAGGAAGGTGGGCAGACAGTGCAACAAACAGAACAATCAGTATCTGTTCAACACCCTGCTCGGCACCCCATCCACTCGTTGCCACTGCAATGCTGACAGCTACAGTGGCCCAAGGGAAAGTGGCTTGGTCCAACTAGTTTGCAAAGGTTAGGAGCTGAAGGTCTTAGCAATTTGGTTTCATATTCCTGGAGCTGAGTGCTTGTATTTTGTGCAGTGGATTTGCTGGGTTTGGAAGCTTGCAAATCATAACTTTTTTGCATTCAGGTTTTCTGAAATACAAACAAGAATTTCCTTAGCTCTTTGTGAAGCAGAGGAATGCCTGGGGCAAAGGATGTGGAAAAGGGAAAAGAGCAAAGAGGTAAAAAACCCTGTGGATGGTGGGTTGCTGCCACTGTGGGTCTGTGAAACTAAAGAACTGCAAATTAAAGAGCTTGTCAACAGTTATTTGTCTGTAGGACTTTTCAGGGGAGAATGGTTTTTAAAGACTTAGCATTTTGTTGGATGTACTTCTACAGACCTGAAATGGAGCTTAATTGTCTGTTTTAAAAAGTTTCAGATGGACATACTATAATTTCAATCACAAATCTGTTGGATAAGTTGTACACTCCACTCTCAGTAGGGGAAGACTACAGTTGCCTTTTCAGGATGAATAAAGACTTTAGTATTTAATTTAATAATGCAAATGGACATTGGATAAACCAGTTCAACTGAAGGAAAAATCTGGCAGTTGCATCTTAGTCTGGGCTTTCATTTGTAGGCTCTGAATGGATGATACTTATTGCACCTTTGTGCAAGCACATTGTGCATATAACTTCAACAGTTTACAACCCTCAGAATAAATGTAAATTTTTGGCAGATTTCTATTTTCTTGTTAAGATTCAAAAAAGTATTTTCCCAGTTAAAAAATAAACAAACAATGGCCATCTAAGTAAAAGGGGATTTAATGTGGGTCACAAATAGTCAACATCAGTGGTTTCTAAACTTTCTGCATGTCAATATATGTAAGGGGATGTTTTTAATGAGCCTTAATAGATTGTTCCTTGTTTAAAATTTCTCTATTCAGTTTTGATGCTGGAAATGAAGAAATATGAAAAGTGCCAAGGGAGGTGATGCTGTCGTCTAGGTTATTTATCTTGGAGCCTCCCAGAACAATGAATTACTGTCTGATGGAGGTAATTTCTTGTTCTAGGTCCTGGGCTAACAGATTACTTGAACTGCTCAGCATCTTATTTCCATCTTCTCCCTTTTCATGTTCTATGCTAATATGACATAATGACACTCATTGGCTTCTCGTTAAATGCAAAATAGGAGAAATACGGTGTTGTATTTATTGTAGCAAAAGAAGAAAAAAAAAGGCTGTTTTCATCTTCATGATATGAAAGATGTTGCAGGATTGTATATCACTGCAGATGTTAGCAGATTTGTGCCATGTAAATTGGGTATGGTAATGATGTTCCAAAATGTTCTAATCAGTGTTTATTCCATCATATTTGATTTATATTTGTTTTTCAAAAATGTGTTTTTGTATGATGCAGGAACCTTGAAAAATCATAAGACAGATTGAAATATAGGTTTCAAGTTAAGTAGAGGGATATGGGTTTTAATTAAAATAGTTAGTAAATATGTATTATGAATACTCAAAGGAGTCCTTCTAATTTGTTTAGCAAAGTAATACTTTAAAATATTTTTTCTGCAATGATAATCGAAGTTCCCTTCAGCATAAACTGGCCAGTATGCTTCCTGATGATGCAGGAAAATTGCATTGACATTCTTTAAAAATACCTGAGAATTAATATTTACAATTTTTTATTCAAAATTCTAAACTGAGCTCTTGGAAACTTTTCAGTATGGTTGGTTCAGGCTGTGAACCTGTTTTATAGCTTGTATTGAAAGGAATATGGATGGTAGCCATTAAGTTGCTTCCTAAGAGTTAAACACTACATTTTCCATTGCTTTTCAGATTGTGACTGACCATAAAAATTTTTGCAGTTTTCTGGGGAGTTAAGTGGAATTTAGTTTAGGCACAGTAGATCATAGAGAAGCTTAGGCAGAATAAAGACAGCATTCTCCCCAGAGCACATACTTCCCTGTGTATCAGTATCAATGCACTCATGTTGATATTTAATATAAAATCACAGGGAAAGTTTAGGTCAAACTGAGAACTGAGTAGTGCAAGTGCTTTCAGGACTAGGTAAAGCTGTCTATTGTATGATGTCTTGGTATAAGGTTTCTAAATATTGTAGGCATGATTTAGTTTGGTCTTCTATGAATATGATCCTAGTGATTCCTAGAAAGAGAAGTAATTTGTTTTGTATTCTGAGTATTATTTCATGGCTGTACCTTTGAATCTCTTCTGTAGCACTGTATCACAGTAAACCCAAGTGACATGCAATTCATACACTGAACTCGCTAAGTTGTTTATGTCGTACTAGATGTGTTTTTTAAAGAAGAAGCAACCACCAAAGACTGCAGCATTGTTCATTTTTGTACTTAGCTCTCACATAGAAGTACAGACTATATTTTTGTGATATTTGAAAGCCAAAAAGAAATAATATCTTTCTCCCTATTTAATTGGCAAGTATATTATACATTGCAGAACAGTTTAAATTTCAATTTTTTTTGTGTGAAAAAAATTATTTTCAGTTTACCTCCTCATATGTGCTGTTCTGTTGGAGGGAAGGGGGAGGTTTGTTATTGTTTTTTGGCTTTTTTGTTTCTTTGCTTTATTTTTAATCTTTATCTGGTGCTTGTTTTATTTATTTTCTTAAAGATTGTCTACATAACTGTAATTGATTAGGGTTTTGTTTGGTTGTTTTTTTTTTACAGTACAAATTAATTTACTGAGTGTTAGTGTATGGAACTTGATCGGGGCATTAGATGATAATAGGATTTGTGGTGCAGACCCTAGAGATGTGTTTATTTATAGTCTATGTGTTAAACCATGATCCCACCAAAATCAATGGAAGTCTTCCTGTTCACTTCTCTGAAGTCAGAACTTTACCTCAGACTGAAGAGCAGCACAATCCACACAGTGTCATGTTGTATTTCTATAACTGAAGGTGTGGTATTAAAATTAAGTATATCAACAAGATATATCAACAAGATATATCAACAAACAGGGGGCCCCTGGTGGTCTAGTGGTTAGGGTGCAGGACTCTCACCGCTGCGACCCAGGTTCAATTCCCAGCCCCCCCGGGCAGATGGAGCTCGTCAGCCCTGTGAGGCAATCCATCTAAGAGAAGGTCACTCTAAACAAACCTACGTTCTGAGACCCTCACTGCCACTGTCCAAGCTTGCTCGGCCCCGGCAGATGAACCTGAGGATTAAAGGGTGGGCTCAGTTCAGCGCACGCTGTGTCTCACCTAAAAAATCCACTGCGCAGGCTTGAAGGGTTAATGACCTTTCCCAAATCTTTGCTCGCGAAGACTGGCCATATTATATCAACAAGAGTGTTTGAGAAGCAAAACTAACAGGGAGACGGATTTGCTGAAACCTAATAGACTAGAATAGACTAAAGCAGGAACTGGCAGAACTGAGCAAGCTATTTCAAATCCTGTCTGAAAAAGTCTTGTTTTTTCTTCTGCAAGTTTGATGTAACAGTTATAGCCACCTTTGGATCTCTCTTGAGCTAGGACTACAGTCATTTACCCAGCAGATAACCTCTGCAGACCATGACCTTAATAATATTTCAAAAGTTATATTTGTGCAAGGATGAACACTTCTGAAACAATTTCTCCACTAAATGATAAACAGTTTTCTCAGACCATTTGTTTGCACTCTTTTGTTTCAAACAGAAGAATTTTTCTAATCGAATAATGAAGAATAATATACTATTTTTGCATTTTTGGCGGTCCTCTTTATTTTTCATTTTTGCTAGTTTGGACTTCTCTTGTTACATCAAAAGACAGGTTTGGACGTTTTTAATTGAGGGGTTTTATTATAACCATCATTCTTCAGAACAATAGTGAAGGGAAAATGCAAATAAATACCTCTAATAAGCCTCTTTGTTTGTTGTTTTTTTCTGTATAACAAAGATATTCCCATCCCGTATTATTTACTACTGTACCACTGCTCCACAGCTGTCTTCTGTATAACAGGAAATGAAAAATCACACTTCATATTGTGGGAAAGTGCCCTTAAGAACACTTGAGAGATAACATGAAAATACTAAAAAATCCAGGCTAATCGCATAAGTGCATGATCTCAGTGCTTTCTCTAGAATTCCAGACAATTTTGTTTGATCATGTCACCTTTTAAGATGTATTTGAGTACTTGATTACCTAGGAAAGAATAATAATGTCTAGAGATTTCATTCGTGGTTTCTGATCTTTGCAAATTGAGGTTGGTTTTTCTTACTTTAACATACAATTGTATCCATGTGCCCTGGCACCAACCCAAGCTGGTAAGAGCCTGGCGTTTTGGTGTGACCTAGAATTGTGTGCAATGTTCTGTGATTTTTTTGGCTATTCTTCTGCTTGATAACAAGTGAACTTATAGGGGTGTTAATAACAACACTTTCTGACAAATAGACAAATTCCAATTTTATTTTTTTTTTATTTTATTTCCAGTTGTCACTGTTGTGTTCGATATGTATTTAGAATATTTTAGTATTCTGTTGGCCAACTCAGTCCTCCAGGGCAACCAGATATCAAATAAGCACTGAGTCCAATTTTGGAAAATTTAAACTGCAGTCTTGTACATGAGAACAAAAACCTGGGGTTTTGTACTCCACAATTGTCTGTATGAAAACCCCAAAAGTTATTTTTCTTGTAATGTGACTAAATTTACACAGTAACAACAGAGAGAATTCATTTTCTAATACGTTTTGGATACCAAGGTTTCACTGCACATTTTGAACTTGACCAAGATATCACAATTGCAAAGACAGTGCAAGTGTTTAGAACACAACGTTTTATTACTGCAGAGCACAGAACTTGGGGAATTGATCATTTTTCTTCTCTCCCCCTTGTGGTTCAGCTTTTGGCAAGTCGTCTTGCTGCATATTGAGACTGATTGATCTCTCACTGCATGAAAATGGCAGGTGCTTGTTAGGCCCCCAGTGGGACTTACTTCAGTCTGCAGTGATTTCTCTTTCTTCATACAGTATTGTTAATAGACTCCATCTTTTGGTCTCTTAATCTTTAACCAGCAAACAGAATTGAACCTGTTAAATATATCCAGCACTCCATGTTTTAATTATGGTGCTTTAGAGCATGATTGCAGACAGTGAGTGCGCAGGAGTTTAAAAGCAAATGAGTGGTTGTCAAAAGATAGAAGATTTTCTTGTTCAAATTATCTGTAGTCCATATCCTACAAAAATAAAACCTGAATAGACAAGATTTTAGCTCAACATATTAC